GCCTCTCTGTCGATTTTCCTTATTCCGTTGAAAGGGTGTGACCGTGTAAACAACTCTAACTGCCTGTTTACAGTAGTCTATCTAAACCTTACCGACGGGTTTGGTTTCTTTGCTCATGAGGGTTGGGGCCTCTAGCTTCTCTCTCTATGTCTCTGCGGGCAGGGGCATATCACACTTTTGTAGCTGGATGACACCCAGAGCAGCAAGGGTGGCTAACTCCGTTGGTCATTTCCTTGTCGGCGACGGCCGAAAGGTGTCTGAGCTGATAGCGCATCCGCGTTAGACAAAGAGGTTTCCCCCTAACTCATTTAAGTTGGTGCATTTCTCACATAGTGTGAGTACCGTAAACTTTTTCTGGAGTTGTTTCCTTGGCGGTATTCTAGACTCGAGTATGCATCGACGAGGACGTCGATCTTCCCTAGGGGGGGAGAGTGTCGCGAATGTGACTTCGGGTATCGAAAGTTACCTGTCGGCTAGTCCTTACGGACACTCTTACCTTACTGCCACGATGGCAGGAGGTCGGTATTGCTGGTTCCTTTTATCGGCCCCTCTTGTTCAACTGTTAATAAACTGGACTTTGCATCTGTACTTGGCCAGATGAGCATAAGGAAGGAATTCCTAAGTGTCTATTTAGCTGAGCATACTTGGCCCGGCTTGTTAGTTCTCTTTTGCTCTGTCTTGCACTGGCTTGACAAGAACCCTCGCATATTGAGATTGGTCCCTCAATATCGCTAGATGATAGCTTACCGTGTCTGCCAAACACCCTCGCTATCATGCCCTTTGTGTTAGTCTCATTTCGGTCCCAAATGCTATTTATGGAAAGTGTCCAGATTTGCTCATTTGGCATATCAACGGAATGTAGAGATCGATCTGAACACAATGGTGTTCGTCCCGTCTCCAAATTCGCAATCTAGCGCCATTCCATAATTAGTAAGTTTCGAGCTTGTCCCAGAGACTAACTCCTGATACTAAGGGAGGCTTGGGGTGAAAGCCCAAAGCGTGTGTTCCTCAAGGGGAAGGGGGGGGGGGGGGGGGGCTTTGGGGGGTTCCAAATGTATAAAAGGGATAGTGGGTAAGTCGGGCATAGCTGACCAACCTGAGGTATAGTCTAGCTCTCGCTTGCGTGCCTGTCCTTGTTCTGCGTCCGGCTTGGGTCTAAGCCCAAGTTCCATTCCATGCTAGTTGGTGGAGTACCCATGTCCTCGCGTTAGGCCACCGGTATGCTGAAATAGCACCAGACTCCGTTTGGCTCCGTTTTGCGTGCTGGTCCTAGCATTGGGATGCTGGTTATTCTAGGACTGTTCCAAGTCGCTCCGAGCTCCTGTCCCTTCGCTCCTTGGGCTGTATGCTCGGGAGTTGCTCCGTGGTTCGGTTCCGTCACTCCTTGGCTCCACGCTTGGGAGTTTGGCACCGTTCCTTCATTCAGTGGCCCAAGGCCCTAAACCTCGGGTTCCTATGGACACGTGGCATGGACACGTGGCATGTGACATGTGGCATCTGTCATGTGGCACAAAGAGGGTTTAGGTTCCGCTTTGTGGTGTTATCCTATGGTAAATCACCATAGGATAAAGGGTCAAAACCACGTGCGCTACAGTACCATAGATAATCCTCAACTTAAGCATTCATGTGTTTGGTTTTCCCATCAGTTTGAAGATGATAAGTTGTACTAAACTTCAACTTGGTACCAAACAACTGGAACAATATGCCCCAAAACTTCCCCGTAAATCTCAAATATCTATATGAGATCATCTTGCTTTGCATTTATTGTTTTCATGGTTGGAATGAAGTGTGCAATCTTTAACAACTGATCCATAATCACCATCAAAGTGTCATAACCCTTAGACTTCGGCAAGCAAGTAACAAAGTTAAGTGTCACATTTTGAAATGGCCATGCCAGTGCTAGAATGCATTGCAACCTCCCAACTTACTTCTCAGTTTATCGCTTACATGTTGGCAGATTGGGCAAAAACAAATATAATCCAATACATCACCTTCTATAGCAAACCAAAAAAATCCCTTTTTTAATGAAGCAAGAGTTTGTTGTTTACTACCATGTCCCATTGCCAGAATATCATGATGCTCCGGAAGAAACATTTATCTTAGATTCTTGGACAAAAGTTACAATCTTTTTTGCTTATAATAAATAAATCCATCCTTAACTAAGAAATGAAGCTTCGACTAGCAACTTTTGCCACTTCGCTACCAAGGTTCTACTTCAACAACTTTACATAATACAATATTGCCTTTGCTAATGGATCACTTCTATAAGAAGCCTAAACATCCTCCAACTAGTCCAAACTGACTATTGATATTACCCATGACAACTCAATGCATTTGGAACAACATTACCTTTACCAAATTTATATACAATTTCAATATCAAATCTAACAAGCTTCTCTTATTAATAAGTCTGCCTTGGCATAAGCTTTTGTTGTGTTGCAAAGTAGCTTAATGTGCTACTATCTGTGTAAACCTTGGTATGTTTACCCAGATAGTGTCTCCAATGTTCTAATACCAATACTATAGCAAACATCTCTTTCTTATGCATAGGGCATCTTTGTTAAGTTTCATCTAATTTCTTAGAGTAAAATGTAATAGGACAACTGCAATGCTTTAGCATAATACTAATTGCATTGTCACAATCTTGCTGCAACATAGTATAATCTTCTTCAACCATATAAAAACACATTGGCAAACTAGTGTCCAATGAAATGGTATACTACTTTTCATTAAATCAATCTATGAAAGAGCAATACTTGCAAAATTGTGAATAAATTTACAATAGTATTTTGCTAAACCGAGAAAGGAATAAATATCTGATATAGTGGTTGAAACTTCTCAAGACTTTACTACTTACCTTCTTTGGATCTACCTCAATTACACAACCACTAACTATATGCCTAAAAAAGTTCACATACAATTGACTAAAAACACATTTACTCTCCTTAGTATACAGTTTGTGTTCCCACAACTTTTGAAACACTAACTCCAAATGTTTTAAATAATCCTGAAACAAACACCTAGATAAGAGTGTGAGAGCTTAAAAAATACCTCTGCAGCTGTGTCCTTGTCGGATTGAGCTATTCCGAGCTGGAAAGCCAAAAATATAGCATCAGTTAATAGAAAGAGTAGCTATACCTCTGTGGTGCCGCAGACCCAAATCGACATTAGCACTCATTTCCATTGATAGAAAAAGGGGAAAATTGCTTAACAGGTTTTTGGGTTTATATCACTGGCAATTGCAAACGGGATGGGCTTCGGCACTGGACCACGAGGCCCGGGCCCAGCTTCCAGATTGTACTCCAGATTTGCAGTCCAAAGCTCGCGATCGACTCGCGCAAGACGAGAAGTAGCAATCTTTCTCTAGAAACTAGGAGATTTGAATGGACCTGGGCCGTGAATCGGCGCTGGTTGGAATCCGTGATCGCGGCGATCTGCCAGGAGACGGAATCCGGGAAGAAACCGTGGATGATCCGCCAAAGATTGTCCTGGATGTCGAATTGAGCGAGGATTTGAGGCGTGGAGCTCACCCCCCAGATGCAAAAGAAACCACTCCCATCCTCGCGTAGCGCCAAGCACAGCAAGCTCAAAAATCCTCGCGTAGTGATCGCATCCACGCTCGCCACTGATCTTCTCGCCTTGGATAGTTTGGCATCTGCTAGATCGAAGAGGCAAACACCCCAGTTGGATCCCCACAGAGAAATCGGTCCCGCCAAGACGATCCCATAGCCACCACCGCTCTTCTTCCACATCGCGAGAGCCTCAATGATAGAAAACCCCTCATCGACCGACAAAATGCGCCGCGCGGTACCGCGGAGTGACGCGGGCGTCATGGGGTCGAATACCGCCAGCGCGGCGGGCTTTGTAGGCGACGCGCTGTAGACGCAGCTCACTAGCCCGTGTGCGCTGGTGGCAAGGCAGGGACCGGTCCACCGCGACTGGCATTTCTTTCCAAGAAAGCCCGAGACAGAGCCCAGCGAGAACCACTGACGGCATGCCGCGCTGTACGCCACCAGCTGCTCTTTCCCACCGCTGGGCCTCTCGTGCCCACGTTTGTGCAGCAAGAGCCAGGCTGTTTCACGCGACGCCGACGTTCGCCGGATGGACGGCTTGATGGTAAGCTCCCGCCACGCACGGCATACCGCACTGCACCGTGCGACGTCGCGCAACGGTAGCCGCGAGAGGATGAGTACCGTCACGTCACTGGCGATACCGTGGCTGCCGGACTCTTCTTTCTTGATCTCCTTACCAACCATCGCGACCGTTGAAAAAGGTCGAATATTCTCCATCTTTTTTGGTTCTTTGCAAGCTTTTACACCAAAATCATTTATATTTGACTTTTCATAACCATAATAAGGTGGGGTTCAGGGTTTAGGGTCACTATGTCAGCTCTCACCAGACAAATTGTGGTGTGCGGACCAAGTCTTGTAGCATCAAGTTCTGTACACAGTGCTACAAGACTCAATGTTTCTAGGAAGAACATTGGAGCGAAGCTTGTTGCAAGGTAAGACTAGGTCTTATTAAAGATTTGATCTCAGATTGGTTCTTTTTTCCAAGAAACAACCCACGAGCTTTTTGCACGAGAGCTCAAGCTAAAGCTAATGATAGAGATGATGAAAAGACTAGAGAAGTGAAGATGAGCTTTATGAAGATGAGGTTGGTGGACGACACAATTACAATTATCCGTCTCCTTGGGGTACTATGTTTTGTGGCCTGTTATGAGGGCGGGTATCGCCTTTTGGTTTTCACTTTGGCCATGACCTTGTTTTGCGGTGGTGGCGCAATAGTCTTGAGTTTGGGTTTTACGTTGGCGGTGGTGGCTGTGGAGTTCTTAATAGTGATGCCTTGCAGATTGGTATGGCTACTACTGCAGCATGTCAACATATCTGCCGTGAAACATGTGCTAGTGCAGCAAATCAAGGTGTCTGCTGCGGAAATTGCATTGATTTTGACCAAGCGATAAAACGAATTTGTTGACTTTCTTATTAGTAAAATCCAAATTTCTCTTAAAGAATATTCGCGCATTTTATTTACACCGTTTTCCATTCTTTTTACATCTTGGGAGCTATCCTAGAAAAGACACTTTTCACGGGTTCATTATCTTTTTCCACCGTGGTGGTGTCAACATGGTGGCGGTGGTGGTGGCGATGGTGGCTTTCATGGCTTCTACTGCGCTCTTGCTCCTCCTGCTTCACCCTTAGAAACACCGACACTCTCCTCGACGAAGGCAATGGCTCCTCCTCTCCTCTCCTGCGCTTTGATTCCTCGCGAGACAAGGATGATTTGTAAGTACTTCTCGACCTGTAACTCTCGCCTCGATCGCGATCTTGCTCTCGCTTTCGATCTCGAACCGACGATGGCTTGTGTCTTTCGCCTGCGTTGCTGTGACCTTCATGGTGGCTCGACCTTCTATCCCTGCTGGTATCTCTGCGCTCCGAATCTCTTTCCCTGTAATCGTACTCCTCGCTCCGGCGCTTCCTCGAGGAACTGTCCTCCCCGTTTTGATCCCTGCTGTGAACGTTTTTAGCCAGTGAAGCCAAGCTCTGAATGCCAAGCCTACCTCTTTTGATGCTCGTGCTTTCTCCACGCTTCCGCCTTCTTGGCCTCGAATTCCTCGCAACTCATCGGAGGATACTTTCCGTATGGCGGATACTCAGCAAAGTCTCTGCAAACAATTTAAAGTGAGTGTGAGAAGCAAAAGAACCAAGCCAAGACGATCTACACAAGTACCTTTGAGGAAAAGGTGGCGGAACCATTCCCGCGTAAGCATATGGATCCGGCAGCAAAGGAGGTCCATTAAACGGGACGTCGAATGGAACTCCATAGCCACCATTGTAAGGCCCTCCGTAAGGCATCATAAAACCATCTCCGATTGGATGAGGGGCCCAGAAAGGAGCTCCGTAAGGTCCAATTCCGTCAGGCATCCACGGCATTTGCTGGCCTGAATAGTTTAGTTTACCAAGTCAGTAAGAAAAAACCGGAGCATCGAAATCGAGGGAAAAGTACCTAGAGGAGTCTGCTTTGGCGGGCGCACTCGCTTCGGCTTGTTCTTCTTCGCTTGCTGACCCGGATTTCCTTCTTCGTTGGTATTTCCATCCGGAGGAGCGTCTTTCAAGCTGGCCGACTCCACCTCTGCCTCGTCACCTTGCGAAGTAGCTTCCGGAGCCGGAGTTTTATGAGGGGCATCCTTCACCTCCGTCGTAACAGCCTTTTCCAAGGTCTGCGATTGATCTTTCACTGAGGCCGATAGAACAGGAGAGGCTGCTTTTGCTAGAGGCAACACTGACTCCATATCTGTGAACAATGTATTAGATTTAAATCTTCTCGACTCAAAACACACAACTTACCAGGAAGAATAACCTTGCTGCCATGATTCTCGGTGCTGCTCGTGGCCGCGTTTGATTCCAGAAGCCTCTCGATCGCATCACGTAATGTCTTGTTTGGAAGGAGGTCGTCGGCAAGCACATGTGTCGCTCCACAGACGCATTTGCCTTTGGAAATGATCTCATTTCGGATGCCTATAAAACCAGGACGTTAAAAAACACTGGCACTGAATTCTTCGCAATTGAAGCTTACATCTGTCACAGTAGCTCTTGAAGCAGCATTTACTCGTCAACACGGCGTCCTTAAGAACGTCCTTGCACAAGGGGCAGCGGAGTTCCGGAGGAACCTCGTTCACAACTTTATTTGACGTTAGTGAAACCACTTCTTTCTCGAAAAGCTCTCTGCAAAAGGTGCAAAAACATGTGATATAAATGTCAGGAAAGTGAAGTGCGCATGTACGTGCTCACGTACTCGTTTGGCCGCAAAACAGCGATCTCTCCATTCGGCATCGCATAAGAGCCATCGGGGTTCGCTACAAGCATAGTTCTGGGAATGCCAGTAGGAAGCTTGACTCTCTTAATGTTGTACGAGGGATCCTTGTTTGTAGGACAATGCTGGATGTAATGGCCTGTAACCACGAGAAATAACCGGTAAAGAAAAAACCCTCTGCAAGAGAATGAGCTTTACCTGGTTCATTGCACCGATGACAAACATAACCATCCGGAGGAGTTTTTCTCATGAAGCCCGTGCCTAGAAAAGCAGAAGGAGCGTAAACAAAAAAGCAACAAAAAGAAAAAAAATGGTTTCGTCATCATCCAAACCTCTTCCCATTCCTCGTCCGCCGCCACCACGACCTCTGCCTCCCACAAAAGCTTGCTGTGTTTGCCTGCCACGCACGAGAGTTAAAATACAAAACAAGCCTTCAACGTAAAGACACACGACGATACCTTTGCCACTCGGAGGCCGACGCGTCGCAAAACGCTTTGATCTTTGCCTCTTCCTCGGCTTTAGCCGCAGCATCAGCCACAGGAACAGTAGCTTGCGGAACTTGTTGGGCCTTTGAAGTTTGCGGGTCCTCGTATAAGTCGACACCAAAATCATCGCTCCAATCGGACTGGACAAAAGGCAAAGGATCTCATGAGAAAAAAAGATTGACAAAAACGAAACACTCGAAACTTACAGTGGTCGTCTTGACAGGATTTTCCACCTTGCTCAAGAGTTCCTCCACAACTTTGGGCCTGCCAAATACTCCAGAGCCATAAACACAGCACACATAGAAAGCGATGAAAAAAAAAATGCTTACTCTGGCTTGGGCTCCGTGATGACGGGAACTCGAACTCGAAAAGTCCCTGGAACGCGACGAACCAGTACCGACGTGTTCTTGGGCACGAGAAATCCTTCGTCGGCATACTCTGCGAGCACACACATTTTTCCAAAACCCACAAACACGTAAGCCCGAGATGAAACCCAGATCAGGCGAAGCTCGAAAGAAAGAAGAAACGAAATCGAAAAAAAGAGTAGAAAAGTTTATCAAACCTTCGTTAGTTTGGGAATTGGAAATCAAGAGATCAAAATCTGGAGGCCTTTCGAGCCTCATCTTGTCAACAATCCTCTCCTTGAGCTGGAGAATGGATAGAAAGGGGCCCTCAACAGGAACAGCGCTGTAGTCTTTGGCACTCTTAAACTTGTAATAAACAGCCATAGCCTTTTTTTTTTTTTCTTTTTTTTCTTAGAGAATGGAACGAAAAAGAATGAAACACAGCAGAGATCCTGGAGCGATCTAAGGCAACAAAAGAATCTCCTAGAACCCTAGAACAAAACAATCAGATGGAGATGGAGCGGCGAGCGCCTAGCGCGAATTGGTCCTCCGGATCTTCGCGGAGAGAAAAGAGGGAGCCCTGGCGCCGCCGAGCCGCTGCGCGTCCTTCACTCTTCCCCTTTGGCGAATGGCCCCAAACCCTAACAAGGGGTGTCATTCAAGCGCGTTTAAAGGGGCAGGGAATATTCGATCTCCTGATCCAGCCGCCGGTTTGATCCGCCGGCTGACAAGACACGAAAATGCCACGTGTAGATAGATTGGGAGGGAAAGTTAGAATGGAGGTTTGGATCTAAAGTTTGAGATTGATTGATTACCTGATCGAGAAATCGATGGATTTACAATAGCTTATCAAAATGAAAGAGATGACCACGAACTTGGTAAGTGTAAGTTGTATAGAGCAGCGCTGCAGCAGTCACGGAACCAAACGATACAAGGACTAGATATCCAAACTCCTGGAATGAAAGAAACATCATAGAAATAGTTGGAGAAGAAACTAGAGAAAAAAAATTTGATTGGATTACCTGAGGAGACGCGACGATCATACCCATGACAAAGGAGAGCATTTCTAGAGACGATTGCAAGGAGTTTTGAACGCCACCGACAACTCCACGCTCGCTCTCCGGAACGCTAGACTGAATTCAACGAAGGAAGGACATTAGAACACGAAGCAATAAAAAACAAACGAGAAGAATATCTTACCTGCATAAGCTGAGTGACTGCCAGATCAAACGACCACAATCCGAAACGAGAGGCGATGATGCCGACGATGAGCAGCGCCGAAGAAAGTGCCGGCGTGTTTATGAAGATCGAAGCCACGCAAATCAAAAGGCAAGACCACTGAGACAATGAAAAGAAGCGCTCAAAGGTAGACCCAAAATCGAGAACTAAACTTTAGAAATAGTTTTGTTACCTGCATCCAGATCGACCAAAGCCCAGTTCGAACGGTTTGGAGATTCGCATGCATTACAGGATAGCAGTAAGTAGCAGCGACTCCCACACACGCTGAGACGCCTCGAGCAAGGCCGATCACATACGCCGGTACTTTCTTCCATTGCAAAGCTGCGGTCATCAGCGAACCAAAGCTGGAAAAACAAGAAGAAATTAAAAATTAAAGCCACAGAAAAATGAAAAAAGAGAATCGAGGAGCTTGCCTTAAGACTGTGAAGTAAATAAGAGCTAGAGCCACACCAGCAAGCACAGGCTCTTGCTTGAAATATATCCACCATCCCTGTACCAGAGAAAACTTTTCCTCTGTGCTTTGCTCTACCCGGTGATCGCTAGGTTTTTCGCCGGCTGTTAGATTCTCGGTGTCCTCTTGGTTGACAGCGGAAACGCTCTCAATGAGCTCTGGAATGGCTGAAATAGCCGAGACGAGAAGCCAGTACTCCACTCCCAGTGAAAGCAAGTTCCAGGCGGCAATGAGGACGATGCAAGCTAGAAGCGAGACGCTGCTCATGAGGATTCCAACAAAAACTGGAGCCAGAAGCTTGCAAGCCAAGTCGATGCGTCTCATTGTCGTGTTCATCTCCACGAGTAAGTCGGGTCTTCTACGTGAAATGCTCACGACCCTGTCACAAAATCGTGGAAGTTCACTCCACTGCTTGCTTAAACAATGTCAACTTACATACCAGTCTCGTTCCAAGAGGATGTTGCAACCGAGCCCAGCGAGAGAGCCAACAGCACCGAAGATATCGATCACACCAACAGTAGCAAAGAACACGGGCAGGGCTTTGATGGGCCGCAAAAGAAGAAGGATCATTAGCAAGGATGCAACAAGAACCGAGCCATTGCGTAGTCCAACCGAGACTTGTATCACCTGCAAGTCAGATGTGAAACTTTGATCATTTCTGGCAATCACAAAACTTGAAGAAAAAAAAGACTAAGGATCACTTACTGTCAAGGGAAACGTTTTATCGATCCATTCTCCAACGTAGACACCCAACACAGCGATGCTAAGAGCTTCCCCGAGACCATACACCGCCGTGAGCACCAAAGACTTGGGCCAAATGCTTATCATAAAGAGCGACACATAGAAATCCCACATCCTGGGCGAACACAGGAATCAAATCTTAAACCTCTGATCGATCTTGAGCGAAGAACTCACCCGGCCCCCCATCGCGCAAGAAAATGCGCCGCATAGATGAAGTGGAGCGTCCGCTTGAATCCGAGTCCATCGCTCGCGGAGAAATCGTCCACATTTTGCGATCGCTCTTCTTCCGGAATCCCGCCATCGGCGACGCTACTGGAATCTGTGAGAAGGCGCAATGTGAGAGAAGGATCCATCGATTGGAGAAGCACAAACCCTAGAACCTAGAGAAGAGAACGCCTTCTGGATGCTACCTTTACCTGGTTGAAACCTCTCGTATGGCTGCATTAACTTACACAAAAAGAAATGGTTAGGTGATTAAAAAATGAAACCATGTAAGTCAAACTCACTTTAATAGACTTCTTTAAAGTTTATTTTCGAGCGAGAGAAAAGATGGCAAATCTCATTAAGGCTTTTATACCTTTACTAAAATTGTTTAAAGTAAACATTATATGTTTAGTATTAATAACTATTGTTAATACTAAGAAGAGTCAACGGTCGGAATGGTTGGCTTCTAGAAACTTGGTCCGGGTTCGACTCCCGGATAATGCATTTTTTAAGACCCCATGGCCGCCTTCTCCAGGTTGCGAATCCCATACGCCAGGAACTCCTCTTGCGCTTGTTTGCTCTTGGAGCTACTGGAGCTCATCGTGAAGCTCCACTCGATCAAGCAACACCCCTCGCCCAGCGCCGTGAGCTTCATCGTCGCGGTGTAATCCTCGAGACCCATGTTGCCATCGACGATCTTGTAAGCCAGGGAGTGGCTCCAGTTATCGAGATAGATGAGCTCTTCCTTGACCGAGATCGACAAACCTCGAGCATCCGGATAGGACCGACAAAACCTCACGTTCCTCTCGATCTCGTAGCACTCTTGGATGCTTGGAACCCAGCGGTGCAGCGAGAAGAAATCCGAGGCCACGCTCCAAGCCGCCGACAGAGGAGCCTTGATCGTCGCCGAAACTCTTCCTCGCACCATCTTCATCTTGATCACCCGGGTCACGCGAAAGATCACAGAGATCACAGAGAACTACAAAGATAATCGATCGATTCGTGAGAGACGAGCGAGTTCGATGACTGCAAAGGAAGAGTGTTTGGCTCGTTTTATACTCGACGAGTGGCTGCTCATAGAAGCTGACTTTTGCAAACCAAAATGGCGGCCGCTCGCTCGCGTCAGAGCTGCTTTTTTCAACCACAGAGCAGCGTTTTTCGATTGAAATCTTCCACAGGTAAGCTTTTGTACGACACACTTCGTATAGCACTTTGTCCGACTCGTAGCTCTACACGTGTCTCTGTACAAGATCATATCAAAAACTCTTGTACGATCGTACAGCTAAAGAACCTTGTCCGACTCGTAGCTTTACGCGTCTCTCTCCAAAACCCATATTTTTCACGAGAGAAAAACTGGAAAACTTTGCGAGTGTTTATGTTCCCGAGCGTACTCTCTCCATCTTTGCAGCTGCCATGGGCCTTTCTTTTCTTCTAATGCGTGTTTTTCGCTGTTAGTCAAGCCAGTTTATTTTGACAAAGTTCTCTACGTTGGGATTGGAAAATCCAAGTTTGACCAGGAGGAGTGAATCTTTAACCCCTTTCTTATCCCCAAGAAAAGCATATTATCAGTGTAAAAATAGGCCGGGCAAACCCTCGAGGGAAAATGGGGAGGAAGCCGACGGACTTGGTGTACATCAGGGAAGAAACCAAGCGGAGGAACACTTTCAGGAAGAGGTGGGAGGGCGCGAGAAAGAAAGCGGAGGAGCTCCACATACTCACGCGAGCTCGGGTGAGACTCATGGCGAGGTTTGAGGGTGTCTTGTATGTGTATAACAGTAGTGCGGAATCCGATGTAAACAATGGGGTGGCGGACAATGATCATCAACAAACGCAAGATGATGTGAATACGAGCAGCGTGGACGACAATGGAGAGGAAGAAGATTGTGGCAGTGAGAATGAAAATGTGTATGAGAACGACGAGAATGAGAATGGTGACGAAGATGATGAAGAGGAGAGCGACGGCGATGGTGATGGCGATGGTGATTGGGATGGTAATGGTGAGGCCACTTTCAAGCCCTACCAACTCAACTTCAGTGACTTTTCCAGCGATTTGAGCTTTGCGAGCAGGGATGCGGTGGTTCCACAGGATTTGGAGTGGTGTTTTGAGAGGAAAACTCTGGAGCAGCAGCAGCAGACGACTGCTGTGACCAAAGTGAACTACTCGGAGTTGCTTACTGAGGACGAAGTCAACGGCTTCCTCAACTTCTGACCGAGAGAAGTTTCTGTACATACAAGTATTGTTAGGGCTTCCTTGTCATCAAATGTAAATAAATCACTAACCTTGGAGGTTCCAATACTTGAACGCTGCCACGTCAGCGTGCCTCCTCCAAGGCACTGATTCAAAGTTTAGGGCACAGGATTAGAAGGCAATGGACAGCGACGAGAGCGACGAGGACGATGGGTGGAGCGCCAGCGTACGAATCATCACGCCACTGGACATGGACGCCACCGTCACGTTTAGCGACGTCGACGACGGGCCGAGCCACTGCTGCCACCACCACCACCACGATTGCCACAGAGAGATCGCTTCCAGCCGCGACGCGATCGATCTGATCGGCCCGCCGGATCCCGACCCCGAGTATCGCGACGATCACGACGACAATGTGTGCCCAGATTGTAAGGACAGCCACATCCTGGAGTGGAGTGGCGGCCCATCGCTGCCAAGAACATACCGCGAGGTTTGCCCCGCAGGCCAGTGCGATCAGTCATCCATCTCTTTGATCGACTCCTCTCTCCCTCGCCCCTACAATCCCCCAGTCTCCAATCCCCACTCGAGCACTGCCTCCAATACCTCCGCCGAGGATCAAGAGGTCGATCGAATCACCATCCGCGCCAGCGAGAGAGACATCGATCACATCACAATCCGGGCGAGGAGCCGATCCCCCGAGCGCGTCACGGTGAGCGTCACGGATCACCACTGCTGCCCGGAGCACCCGTGCTCTTCCTCCCAATCGCGCGATCGATCGTCCTCACCCAGCGGCGCGGTGGATCGCATCCGGATCCTGGTGGACAGCGAGGTGGACCACAAGATGGGGCAGCTGCGCAGCGAGATTGGCGCGCTGGACGACCGACTGGGAGA